GGGAGAGAAAGGAAGAGATTCAAGAAGCAACGAAATAAAATTAACAGTACTTGGGGACTGATGGGCTATGGAGGATGGAACAGAGCAAAGAGTGAAGGCTGACTAAATCAGAAAAAGAGGTAGGGATGTAGAAAAATTGTTCAGTATGTGATGATTTCAGATTTCTAATGTCAGCAGTCCAACAGAACAATGAATATACCTATCTAGATCTGCTGTGAAAGATCTGAACCAGAGGTTTGCAAATCATCTACATAAAGGAGATACTGCTTTCCATGTCTCCAGACAGGGAAAGGTTTAATTACAACTGAGATTGATCTTCCCTTTCCCCAAAACAAGTCCTAATACAAAGTTCCTCTCTATTAAATGTCCGAGTTAGAATGATTTCATTTGAGTCTCAAGTAAGACAGAAAAACTGACCTGAGCACAATGAATATTTTATGCACAAAGACAACTGGTGTATTACATTGTTGTTGTACTGAAGTATAATCTCAAATTCAACATACACAGTTCCAAATGTATTCTTTCAGGGTTGGAAGCAATTAGAGGATACTTAATTGGACACTCAAAGTTAACCAAAGAAGTGATAAGCCACTATGTGAAACAGATCAAAGATACTGTTGCTCTAATTTGGCAGTACCTGGACTGCCACACCCACAGGCCTATAGGCCTTTTCTAGATACACACAAGTCTTTCATATTGGAAAACACATAGGGAAAAATACCTTAAAAAATAAAGGACTTCCAGAAAGCAGTCTTGTCTGTTTGGGTCCCGGCTCTGACGCCTTATAACTTTGTGCATATCTCCTCTAATTTACAATTTTCTCATAAAACAAGTGGGCATAATACTAATACTTAATAATACCTGCCTAGGAAATGCGATATGAGAATTAAATTAGATAAGGCTTGTAAAGCAGCTAACGTCTAGCACTTAGTACAAGCTCATTAAATGTAATTCATGTTTTAGTATGCTTGCACTTGTTTGAAAGAACACATGTGCTACCATAAATTAGCCCCTGGAGTCTGTCCATTATTATCACTAGGACTGCTATGTCAAATATGTTCCGTCGTTATAGATTATGATGGGAATCCATCTTTTACATCCTGCTATCATTTTTTTCTCAGCAATCTAATATATTTTTTACTTAGGTAATACTATCATTTACAAAACCAGGAAAATATTTTTGAACAAAATCATAAGTGGCCACAGTAACAGGAGAGAAATATCGTGTAGCGCTTGGTAGATCAGGCAAGAAAAGGGAAAAGATTAATGATAGCTAACCGTCAAGCTGGCCATCCTGGGCACACTGGAAGAGCCTGAATGCCATGTGGCAAACAGTGGTTTTCCACAAACGCCTTATGAAACCTGAAGCTGGGCCAGTCTAACTAATCCCGGTGATGACTCAAGAGCCAAGAGCTGCACAGGATGTTACAGGACTTCAATTACTCAGACCTAAAGGTCCAAATAGGGAAAAAGCAAAACTTTATAGTAAATACAGCGACAGTTTTAGTGTGCAGGAAAAAGCTTCTTTGTGCAGACTAACAGAAAGAAACTAGCTGTAATAGTCTCTGAATAGATGTGCAATATTTAACATTGACACCATATATTAAAACAAAACAACTGAAATTCTTTCTGATTATCTATCAAAATCCACTGAAGTAATAAGATAATGTCAGTCCTTCATAGAATTTGTTTTTTTAAAGTGCTTTCAGCCTGGTTGTAAAATAACCATATATAAATAATGATGAATTTAACTATGATAAAAATGTATATTAAAATTGGTGTTGGAGTTGGGGCAAAATATTTATTCAAGCATTAGAATACTTGAATATCTTGCCATATATTGATGAAATTCTTCTACATGAGAAATAATTGATAACTTTATCATGAGCTTTGAATATGACAATAATGTCTCCCATTCAGGTTGTACTTGGTGTAAATAAAAGAAACCTCATATTCTAATTTTTGGATCATCTCTTTCATTGAGAGAATTCAGGTGCAAAAAAATGAGAGAGAGAGGGTGAGAATGACAGAGAAATCAGAAAATGTCTCACCTATAAAGTAAGAAGAATGCAGATATAGGTGAAGACGGACAATCCAACTTCAGATACCATGAATTTCAAATCTTGAGAAAAAACTACGTGTGAACAACAATTTTTTCTATTTTCAAGGTCTATTTCCTTTGTAATTTAATCCAAAAGCAGTGATGGAGAAAAAGGAGACCTAGAATCTTATGCATTAATGGCCACTAACTTGTTATATGAACTGAAAAATCCTTGAACCTAATCATCCCTGAAGTTTGGGCTGGAACTGGTTTCTGCGATGCCTTCCAGCACTAACCTTCTGGGAACTTCAGGGCATCCCCTTCCGTCAGGTTACAAGTAGCTTTAATTTGTCACATCACAGGAACACACACTCGGCAGGGAGTGAACATGCTTTTGTAAGGAGTCTAAAGCCCAGGTGCTTCTCTAGCTTCATCCTTAAATTGAACTTGCTTCTCAAAGTTCTTCTTCCCCATTCCCGCCTCTTCGCTTTGCTTTTTTATAACAATATTTGTTCAGAAGCCTGAAAAGGTTTTAGTTACAAATCCTGATACCTAGTGCCTAGAAACAAGACTCATGCCACTTCTGGAGATGTCAAGAATGAGTCATTTGTGCACTAAAAGTCAAGTTTCATGCCAGGCTGAGCACCCCATCTGCAAGCGCCTCGGAGTACTTGATCCCACTGACCCCGGCACCCATTGTGAAAACTCAGAGTCCACAGTAGAGGAGACAGAAGCAAAAGAGTATAAAAAGTCCTGATAATCTGCTTCTAAAGACTTAGGAAATAAGGCACAAAGAGAGTCAATTCTGTACTGAAATGCTAACATTTGAACACACTGATTACTGGGCAGAGTCCTTACTGGGAAAGGGAAGCTATAGGTAGAAGCCCCTGTTTCCAAACTGTATTTCAGTACCATAGGCTCTGTGTTGACTTTTGTTTTTGTAGACTTGCAGAAACTTTTAAAAAATGAATAAAATTCGGGACATAGAAACCTGATCCTTAGAAGTGGCATTCCTAACCTGATGTCTGTTTAAGGAAAACGTTCAAATTTGACAAAAAGAGTAGTCATACTTAACTAAATTTTGACAAAATCCCTAAAACTATAATCTTACTCTGAGATATATGCATATACACACGCACATACTCACATATATCATATGCAAGAATGAAATCTAATAAAACTCTACTTCACTTACTTTCAGTAACAGCCAGGTAACGATTCTTAACTAATTAGAATTGCCAAGCAACCTAAATGGCAAGGTAGCCCTAAGTCACAGGTGAAAGTATTTTCTAAAAATGAAGCAGGCTTCATTAGACAGACAGCCTTAAAAAAAATCAAAAGTTAATTAACTGTTGGGTATGATTAAATTCTGGGGACTGCAATTTTATCTTACTCCTTTGAAGTACATAGCATAATCGAAATTGTCTGTGATAAAGTGGTCAAGTTAAGTTCAAAAAGAGTCATCCACACACCATTTACCTATTCTCCTCATTTTTTTCTGACTTTATGCTTTTGAGCTAAAGACATTGCCATTTTAAATACAAAGGAAAATCTTCATCTTCTTATCTAGGTTATTCAGCTACTGTAAAATAAGTATGCAATTTCACCTCTTTATTATTATGTTTTGGAACCTGGGAGAGCAATAAAAAGTAGTTTGCAATGGTTCCATCTTTTTCAAAATTTACTCTAGTCCCTTATATTCAAATCAGGTTTTAACTGGGAATTTCTTGCCATTTCTACTGAATTCCTGAAAGTTTCTGCCACCTGTGTGAAGCTATCTAGAAAAAAATAGATGTATTTGGTTAGCTGAAATTATTGAAGATAATAACTTCCATTTTTATGAGGTCATTTACAATGTATTAGTAACTAGGTCTTAGCTTGGTTAATAGGTTGAGAACTTGCTTCATCAACAACACTTAAAATTTATTGAATGTTCACTATATGGTAGGAAAATGAGTTATCTCATTTAATTTTAACAACAACTTTATGAGTCTAGTTCTATTATTTTCGCCTTTTAGATTAAGAAGCCAACCTTAGAAGAATTAACATTCCCCTGGTGAAGAACTAGTGTATGTGGGAGGCAGCAATAAAAACTAGGTTTACCTAACTCCATAAATCTTGTTTTTAACCATCACACGATGATGACTCCCACTGCTGAATTCTGCTTTTCCAATATAAATATATTATAAATGGATTTACAAATTATATTAAACCCCAAGAAAACACACAGTAGAGTCTCAGATGCAATATTAAATGCTTGTTGTCCTTGCTGTAGGAAGTTACACTGTGAAGGAGAATGGAGCTAAGGAATAAACCCATTACCCTACGCCCATGTTGGATGTCTCCCAATTTTTAAAAGGATGCTGCATAATCTCTTCTAAAACTGCAATTCTAATATAAGTTATAAATATAATGTAACTACATAATAAAGTAATCACGGAAAAGTACAATTAAATATGTTAATTCTTCTTGGGAAATTATAACTTTTGCATTGCTGAAATTGCAATCATTTTAAATTTGCAAATAATTATAAAATCTACCTTAAATCTTCTCTGAAAAGAGGTAGGATATAAAACCATAATTTCTAAAATAAGCATATTATCAAAAAAATATAGAAAAAGATTCTAATATATCTCCTCTGTAGATTATTCTAAAGCAAAAAGCTGGGATATGATAAATTAAACAACAATCTTGAAAAACTTCAATTTTAAACATAAGCCATTATTCTTTACTGTTATTTTAAAAGTGAAATTGATATTTTTTCTGAGTTATATTTTAAATATATCAGTGGAAAGTGTGCCAATGATCATGGCCTGCTCAGTGAGCAAAACACCATTGAATAGAATACTTGCAGCGTTCTTGAAAAGGTACTAAAAGGAATATAAAAGAAGAGAGAAAAGTCACAATACACAGTTGTTGTGACTGCTATTACAGCACGAGCACTGAAAACAGTACCTACCCAGTAATGTCAAGACACAGGCAAGTATTGCGATCAGGGCTCCCGTACTGAGGCCAGCAGGTAGGACGTAAGCCTCGGCATTGCAGGTCTGGGCTATCCCATCTGCATCGCAGTCACAGACACGGATGGTGAGGGTGTTGGTGCTGCTGAGTGAAGGTGATCCACTGTCCACGATGAAGATTGGCAGATAGTAAACAGATTGCTCCTGTCTCCGAAAGCCATTTCTCCTGGTGAGAATCGAGGCTGTGTTGTCTAGGATAAAGAGAGCAAATACATAGCACAAGATTTCTGATCCAATCAGTCCTGCCAAACTTTATCTGATTTAAGTCACTCTGGTTTCTTTGATGAAGAGCCATATTTCCAAATATTGGTTCATTTTAATACATTTTAAAATATTTGTCATGCTACACAGTTATAACCAAAGAAACAGTTATAAAATAAAAGTGAATATGAAAATGTTTATGCATCATTTACTGTATGAACTGCAACTCTGTAAAAATTACATGTAGTACATCCTTTTAAGGCTCTCAAATTTCAAACCATACACTTCTTTACAGGATGGTAAAAATTAACAGGTTAAATATTTTTGCAGCATCATCAGACAGCACAGATGAAATTTCTAATCCAAGCTTTCTTTGACAAGTTCCAAGCCCAATATAGAAACAATTAAAACAAGCCACTCTAGCTTTATTTGAATTGAGTAATGCATAGATATTCAAGAGAGGAATTATTATATTGTTTTTAAAAATTCATATTGGTATATATTGTTACCAAACCCCACGTACGTATATAGACTTTTTGTCAGTGACAAAATAGGTCATTTCCATTTCATTTATATTCAATATTCTATTTCATCTAAACAATTATAGTAATTATGAAACTTTTAACAGTGATCAATAAGTCTGTATCACATCTATAATTTCTATATCAGAATAGGTTTTTTTATCTGCTAGCAATTTATCCAGTGAACTTGTCTTAATTAACTAATTAGAAAGTTTATGTGATTCTTTAAATTTACAGCAATTAATGAAAATATGAAGGAACAGAAGGAAAACCAGGACCACAGATTAATCCAGTGTGCTTTAATATATATTTCCTTTCCAAACTGTCAAAGAGATATTTATCCAATGTTATCATGAAAGAATTAACAATATTTTAATGAAAGAACAAGCTGAAATCTGTTCTGTCTCAAAAAGCACAAAACAGCCAGCCCACATGAGACTGCAGAAAACGTATAACCTGCAATTATTGATGCGGCAGGAATAAAACTGTTTGATTTTCAGATTCTATCTGGTAGGTGTTTATGTAAACAAATCTTTTATTTTAAAAAGTATGAATTTGAGAGGTGTTCATTAAGAAACTCACATGGAGTTGTTGAAGGATATGGTCTTGACTATGTTTCTATACGCTTAACAGCACATGCACACACACATCTGCATCTTTGCCTCCCAAACATTCAGATGTTATACCTACTTATGATTTGATACACAAAGTTTTTCAAAGTTGTTGATTTGTGATCTAACATGCCTGACATCAAATCACACATACACACACAATGAATTGAGGAGCACATGTTGAAATGTCCAGTATGTGAGAAGAGAACCCTATGTTCAAGAAACAGATCATGAAATTCATCATGTCTGTATGTGCTTCCTACGATGGAAGCCAACATAAGAAGGGATATTCTTCTTTCCTACATGTTTTCCTTCAAGGTACAGGCTAGGGAGCTCTGGGCTTAACTTAGAGAAATCTTTCAATTATGTGGCAGTGTGAATGTCCCGAATATCCAGACATTTTTGTTCACGTGCTGCCCAACAATCATGGTGGTACTGGATGATGACACATGGGGGAATATTCACACGCTTCTTGGGAAGGTCATAAATTCCCTTCCCTGAATTTGTGCTGGATGAATACAAGTGCAGAGAACTGTCCCTTCCAACTATGATTAGGTCAGAGAGTTTGGGATTACCCACATAGAGAATGCTCTTCGTTTTATATTACTAAGGGGACAAGATACTGTTCTCATTAAACCGAGAAAGGGATCAGGAAAAATTATTATTTTCAGATTGAATTTTTGAGGCCAAAGTTGCACTTTCTGCGCTAAAGCAAGTGGTGGCTTCAAGCAAAAGCACTTACGTCCATCTTCTGAGAGCAAGCCTTTTTATTTTTTTAATTAATTAATTAATTTTGTGTGTGTGTGTGTGTGTGTGTGAGGACGATCAGGCCTGAACTAACATCCATGCCAATCCTCCTCTTTTTGCTGAGGAAGGCTGGCCCTGGGCTAACATCCATGCCAATCTTCCTTATGTGGGACGCCGCCACAGCACGGCCTGACAAGCGGTGTATCCGTGCACGCCCAGGATCCGAACCCGGGCTGCCAGCAGCCAAGCACACGCACTTAGCTGCTACACCATGGGGCCGGCCCCTGAGAGCAAGTGTTTTTAGATAAGCCAGTATTTGACTAGCAAATCTATTTCTACATCTTTTTTTTCTGAAAACTGATTCACACATTCAATCTGAATGAAATAATTACACTCCATATTGTTGGGGAATACTGTTTTCTCTTTATATCAGCTGCAAATACTCTCCTTCTGCTAAAATAAATACCTTGAATGAAAACCCATGTGAATATATATATATATATATTCAAAATTAGACAATAGATAGTAGGTTCTCATGCTTCTTTTAAAAGTTCTTATAATTCTCTCCTTCTCTCATGCTCTCTGTCTCTATATACATATAAATAAAAATTTTTTATTAAATAAAATTAAACCAAACCAAAATTTACTATAGGTGGATTTGTAAAAATGTTTCTATAATGACACTTAGAAAACTGGTAAGTGTTTACTTTTGAAGCACATAAATGGGATTTGGGATGACAGGGAATTCCTTTGTTCTTTTTTATTTTATATTTTTTGCATGAAGAGTATGTTTTTATTATTTGCATGAATTACTTTTATTTTTATGTTAAAAATAAAAGAATAACTGATGTTAGCATTGAAAATATTAAGTCAAAGTTGATTTAGGTTGAAATATGTAAAGTCCAATTATTTTCCTAATGTGTCAAGTTATAGCTGAGTAGAATAGTCTTTGTTAAGGCTATTTAGCTGGCTCTCAACAAATTAGATAATTTGGATAAAGAGCTTAGTATACAAATAAGGAAGCAAATGTCTAGAAGAAAAGACAGAGAGAGAGGGATTTGGCTTCTCCCCCATTTGGATTTAGGCCTAAAATGATTTAAGTAGCCGCTTATTCTTCATGACAGCAAATCCATAGATAAAAATTACTTGAGGGTCTCATTGCCCTTTAATTAATGTCCTTGCTGGTATAAAAAAAATCCATAATCAGCATTCCTGAGGGAGAAAAAATACTTGCTTAGAGAGTTTGTACCTGCTGCCTCCATCTATGACAATAATAATACCTTACCTTTGTTATCGTTCAGTGAAAAGTTGTGGTTATTTGTTGCATCAGTCGTTAAGCTGAAATAAAACTGGTGTCCATTGGATGGCTCATCTTTATCAACAGCACTGATTTTCTGGATAACCTAGGGAAAGAGAATGTAAAACATGAAAGCACATTGGTGTGCTCTGCTATGTTTTTTGAGGCAAGACAGAGTAGTTTTACACCTTATAATAAATACCATCTTCCTGAATGAGCTGAGGGGAAGGATCAGATGTACTAATATGAACTCAATCTCAAAAGGGCTCTGAAAAACAAATCTGTCCTTTTCAAAATTCATGTTTGGATTTACTTTTGTGACCCTCAGAAATAAGCTGTACTAACTGATTACACCATCCCAGTAAACATCACAAGACACTGAGCAACATGGATGAGGAGAACAAACCACACCGAGATTACACTCCACTTCATTCTTAGAACCTGCTGTGGAATGTGGGAAACAGCCCAAATGTAATATACCATATTTCTCCTTAAAGGAGTCTAAGCCCTTAACCATTTACCATGGCTTTTACAATGTTTGCCTTTTCTTCCTAAGGAATTTTCATCATCCTAATTAAACCAGAATTTGAAAGTTCCTTTAATATTAGTTTATGCTCCACATCAAAATGTTAGTTTTGCTGAAACATGCTGATTATATTTTACCTTAAAGCTGGCAGAATTTCAAAGGCAACTGCTGCTGGATATTTAAAGAAATCACTACTAGGAGCAAGGTGTTCTGAAGCCCCTTACCTGCCCTGGCTGGGCATTTTCACAGACGGTGGTTTCATAGTCCATGGCAAATTCAGGGGCATTGTCATTGATATCGAGGATAGTGATGGCGACATAGCCTCTTCCTACTTGAGATGGATTCTCTAATAAAGAGGAAAATGTTTTATCATTTACTCTGAGAGTAAAGCTGTTATTCCAATGCCATTTTTCTCAGGCAACTCATATTAAAAACAATCGGAGGGGCTGGCCTGGTGGTGTTCCGGTTACGTTCACGCGCTCTGCTTTGGTGGCCTGGGGTTCGCAGGTTCGGATCTCCGGCGTTGGCCTACACACCGCTTATCAAGCCATGCTGTGGCAGGTGTCCCACATATAAAGTAGAGGAAGATGGGCATGGATGTTAGCCCAGGGCCAATCTTCCTCAGCAAAAAGAGGAGGATTGGCAACAGATGTTAGCTCAGGGCTAATCTTCCTCACACACACACATAAAAACAATTTGAGTCAATCAAAATTGTTTGCGTCTCTAAAGCACAATTCTAATAAGGAAATGACAAAGCCTCTAATGAAATCTAGAATCATAACGTTGTAGAGTTTAAAGAGAGCAATAGAAAATGTGATCTGAATGTCAGATATATACGTGACATATATATATATGTATGAATATATATATAGATATGTAATTTTTTAGTCGCTGATGAGAAAATCATTGAAATAAAAATAAATAAGCCATGAATTTCAATATTCTTTGACGCTAGAACCCATATTTGTATGAATATAGACTATATAATATATATGTACATAATATGCATAAAATATAATTATGCATTGTTCTTGCAATGTTTTTCTTATCAGGGACTAAAATTAGTTCAATATTAGAATATGCAAATCTGGGTGTCTTGGTTAGAGATCAATTTACTAACTGAATGGGTGTCTTGGTTAGAGATCAATTTACTACTTTTCGTAAGCTATTTGACCAACTCCATATCAGCATAAATGCAGCATATGACATACAACCACAAAACAATAAGAAGCCCTCTGAAGGTAACTCAGCTCCATTATTTTATAGTAATCTCTTTTTATTAACTTTGTAAGTATTAGCAAATAAAGTTAGTAAATATAAATATATTTCACAGCTTGAAATCAGGGATTGTAAATATTTTGTTCAATTCAAATAAGCACCTAATATAATTCAAGTTGAAATTATAATCTCATGACAACCCGTTCTCCACTCTCAACATTCTCCATCATAATTTAACTTTAAACCTTACTACTTACGACTCTCCATTGCAAGGACTGTGATATTATGAACAGCATTTGTCTCCCGATCCAAAGATTTGGCGGTCGTAATAACTCCACTGTTGGCATCAATATTGAAGTATCTCTCCAAGTCTGTGTTTCTGTCAATTGAATACCTAATTGAACATTAAAAAAAAAAAAGTTCAACATTGATGTTTGATCACAATTTGCTAAATTTATTTCATTAATTGCACAGGCAATCACCAAATACTGCTGACTCCACGATCTGTCACATTAGTAACATAAATATATGCCTAGTTTAAACCTACATCAATATTATAGTTCGTTCATAATCTGCTTGTCAGTTATCTCTTTCCTTTTCTATCCTACAGTACAAAATAAACACCATAGTATAGTTGTCTTCACAGTGGATTTGAATATGCCACTATAACCTTCAAATTCATTTTATTATTATTTTGGCTCCTAAAAACCATTTTCAATAGATTTAGTAGCCCTGGCCATGGTTATGGGTCCTTCTAAAATGAAATATATGTAGACATCTTGCCCCTTCACATATAATTAGTAACATCTTTTGTCTTGATAACACCAGCCTGATCTGAATCTTTTTTCTGTGTCTGTCACTCAGTGGACTTGACCAGGGTTCCACAGATGCGCTTCAAAGTAGAACTTCTAAAATCGCATGAATATTTTGGTGTGTAAAAACCTTTTCTCAAAATATCTGCTATCCAAATATTAGTGAAAAATTACTGCTCAACTTGTATTCTTATTCCATTATGCTATAATTTGTCCCATACACAAAATTCACCCTCCCCTCATTAATGATTATCTTCAAACGACCCTCTCAGTCTTTCTAGTTGGGTGAAATAAGGGCTCTCATTTAAAAACAAATGAGACAAATAAACAAAAGAACAAACAGATAAACACACACTCAATTTAAGTTAAGAAAGTATTATGTTTCCATAGTAGTTCTCCAACTACTATTATTAAATAGTGTCATCTACTTCTAGTCTGCTGTATTACAAAATGCAAGAAACACAAAAAGGAAAGAGGAGGCATCAGAAAATACTAGAAAATAAAATTAAACATAAACAAAAAAATATGATTGTCTTTGTGCAGCAACAGGTGTTTGGGTGTTGAGAATATTAGGAACTTATTTTTCGATGGCTTCTATTTTCTCGATGGCATATGAGACAAAGTTATCAGCTGAGACAGCAGGAAGGAGAAGGTGGTTGGAAGACAAGGAGAGAGAAGTCATTTTTTTAGAATGGACACATATATATATATATGTACACACACAAACACTATACATATATACACACATACACACTAGGTGAAGTGTAATGAAATAGCTAAGCGTTATGAATTGTCCCTTTGAGGTTTGTAGTCATTAATTTAATGTGAAACCAGTCATCCTGTTTGTTTGTCTTGCTCCGTTCTCATCCATGTGTTTGAAGGTGCATACAAAGCAGAGGGCTGGGTTTAACCAGTCAATGGGTTTAACCAGACAATGGAAGGAGAGAGGGGTAAGGAGGATAGGGACATATACACAGGAGTGATAATAATGAAGGCCCATGGTACATAAGTTGGTAAGAGAGAAGTGAGGAAATACAGGAAGGCAGATTGATACTGAGAAGATGTTGGTACATGAACAGATTGTAGATCTTTACAGCATGCAGAACTGCTGGAGTGGGAGGTGGTGGACAGAGAGCAAGATGCTTGAAGCAGATGTTCAACAGAGAGTATATATATGAGAGCTGACAAGCCAACGGTATGTTCATAAGAATCGGTGACCGAATTGGAGCGGAGGAACAGATCACTGGAGTCAAGAAGACCAAGAAAGTGAGAGGCCAACATGTTTGATGGGTCATGGGTGCAGCTGAATCAGTTACTAATCACTATGCCAGGAGTGGTGGTGGGAAAGAATAAACTGGTCCGAGTACTAAAATCCTCAATGAATCAGTGTGATTATTGTATATTTGGTGGTTGATAGCAACATGGAAGATTTTGAGTAAAGTCTGATGACACATTCCACAAAAGAGTTGAGAGTTTTGAGGGAAAAATAAAATTAAATAGTTTGAAAATGGCAATGGCAGTACAAAATGTATTCACTCTCACCTCCAGGATCTGTGCTACACAGGATATGAGAGGAAAAACAAATCTCACTTGATATTCCTCACATCCTCTCCTTACCATCCTTATATTATAGCGAAGTGTCTTTACTCAAATCAAAATCAAACCATTCCACTTAAGCTGCCCATTTCACTTGCTCAGACCTTGTCAAGAATGTTTTTCCTTGGATTTAGATAGTTTTCCCTCTATACAGCTTTATCTGAATTGAAAGCAAATGTTTCCTATTTTAAAAAACAAATTTCCTCCACTTATGTCAAGTTCACCATTGGCCTCCATATTGTCAAATCCACTGTTCACTTCTCCATTTTTTTCCTACTATCTCTCTCATCCAATGTACTACAATTGATCACTTGCTCTTGACCACTTGCTCCTCCTCAAAACACATCCCCCCTACCTTTACTAATACCGCATCTTCCCTATTTTCTCCTACCTCACCATCTGTTCCTTTTCAGTCACCTTGGCTGGTGCACCCTCCTCTTCATGATCTCTAATTACTTGAACTCCCTCTAACCTCTCCTATGGCTTCCTCTTCTTTATGTAAACACTTTTCCTTAGCAACTTATACAGTCTCATGGCTTAAATAACTTCTATAATTTTGATTACTCCCAAATTTATATAAAATCTCCTTGGCACATCAGACTTATATACTGAATTACTTAATATCGCCACATGGATACACAACATGAAATGAAATGTAACATATCCAAACTGATGTTATAATGCCCACAGTCCCCAAAACCTCCTCCTTCCTCTCTCTTTCCCATCTGAGTCAATAACGCCACCAGTCACTTGATTGCTCGATCTAAAAATTTGGAATTGGTCCTTGACTTGTTTTTCTCCCTTACCACTGCATCCAATTTCTCAACAACTACTCTCAGGTACTGTCAGTCCAAGTTACCACCCACTTTAGCCTAGATTTTGCATTATTTTACTCCTTATCAATGTACTTCCATTCTTACTGTCTACAATCCACTTTCTACACAACAGCCATATAAACAACAAAGAATTTTATTTAATGATACAATAGAGTTTAATTTTCAATTATATAGAAGGGCTAGATTTTCTTCTCTGAAATGTTGCATTAGTCAAACCAATATATGCCAATATTTCATATTGTTAATATACTATATATGTATGCATTTGTGTGTGTATGTATGTGTGTGTATATATACATATATATATAATAACTTAATACCCATGCACTCATGCATCAATTGAGCCAATACTAAAAGACTGAATTGTTCATTTTTTCAAATCATTATGATAATGTTTGCATATTCAGGAAAAAAATAGACTTCTAGAGTCTTACAAAGCAAATAGGCCCTGGACTTGACATATATCTGTCTAAATGAGTTCATGTAATTATGTATCTAAATGAGTTCCTGTAATTCCCTGCAGAGCTAAAGTCAATGTCTAAAACATTTGCCTGTATTATCAATAGCCTCAAAGTTCCCAGCATTAGAATAAATGAAATTAAACTTGAGAATTCAGGTAATATGTTAAATGTCTCCAACTTCTATTCACCTCATAGAAAAATCCCTAATTTTTTAGGGATCTGGTGATTACCCTAGGCCTTTATATGTTTTGAAGAAGAATGGACACCAGAGTTTCTATCATTCAAATATTAATCATTTCTAAATCATAAACTCTGTAGCCTCCACTTATAAATTGTGTATATTTTTAAAATAGTTATAATTTTCACTTATATCTCACTAAATAGCATAGCCTCATACATATACGTATTTGGTAATTTGTGAATTATTCTGATATCTTATGTCTCCATTTCATTCATTCATAAATTCATCAACCATTCTTGAGCACCTGCATGTGACATTCTATTTCAAGAAATACAGGAGATAAACAAAATATTTGTTAAAATAGCAACCTATAATAAATATTTAGGAGAAAACCAACAAATTTCTATCCTAGAGTATGATGAAAGAAGTCAGGGCAGGTGTGGGAGAGAATAAGGTATTGGCTTGGGAAGAGATGGAAGACCTTGGCAAGGACAAAGAGTAGACAAATTGTCCAGAACATTCTGTATGGTTATTATGTTTCTTAATCACAAGGACTTAGGATCACCCAGTGTTAAAGGGGTTCCCTATTTTCTACCAGCCCCTCTGGACATGCAGAAAACTGGATCTTAAGTATAAGGCATTAGCTACTCTATAAATTTCCCTGAGAAAAACAATCCCTTACCCAAGAGAAATAGAGAAAATATGGGCACTTTTTAGAATGAGAGGTGCAAAACGTCTTTGAAGAGAATCTGGGAGGGCTGACTGGGCCAAAAGAGAAAAAAGGCCCTAAAGAAGTCTGGAGGAGCACACTCTTTGCAGCTCTAGATCCACTGGTCTAGCGACTGAGATGTGTGATTACCTGAGTCAATCAGAGGCTGAACAGGAAGGGAGAGGATTGGTGTTTCTCTAATTATAAACCAAAGTTAACGTCAATGCATCTTCTGATGCAGTTAGTGGTATGTGGACTCACAATGATCCCTCTAGTTTCTACAAATTACAGCCTAAAATGCTTGGCCTCTTTCAGTTTACGTTGGAGTGACCCACTAGAGAGATCACTTCCATATTTTTGCAGCGACAGTTAAAGCTTCTGCCGTATCCATTTATTACGCAGGCTGCTCCAAATCTCGATACCCAGCCTCAACCCTTTCCTGAGATTTTGTAAATTACTCCAGATACCTGCAACATCTTCAACTCAAGCTCAATGTATGTAAAAGCAGAGACATCAACCTTTCCCCAAAACTGCCCCTCCTTCTGAATGTTCTCATTTTCAGAATGTATTTCAGAATGTATTGAGTATTTAAAACACAGTTTACATTTTTTCCTAATCCTCAAACAACTATGAAAGGTCATGTGTGACAGAGACTTCTATTTGCATGCCTAATATCCATTTGCCCTTTATTCTTGTTAACAGAACTCTGCTTTTGCAAGAGACAGCCATGATCCAGCTGAAACTACATTTGCTAGCCTCCTTTAGAGATGTGGCATCCTTATACCTAAGTTTTAGCAAA